CGGCACATGACAGATGGCAAGCTTTCAGGGGGGAAAGCACAGAAGAAAAGGATCTGATCTTCCAACTCAAGAGGTCGTCCTTAATCCAATTTAAGACCAAATTAGATGTGTTCTTAGCAAATAACACCAAGGAAGAAGTCTGCGACTTCAAGATCAAAGGTAGTTGGCTCGAACGTTCTTGCATTGTTTACGCCGGTGAATCTGACACCATCGTCGCCCAGGTACGTACTTTAACGTTGTCAAAGAGTGTGAACATGATGACTTGATCAATTAATCTGCCCTGAATTGTGTGTGTTTGTTTTTTTTTTTTTTTGGGGCAGATGCATAAGAAACACACAGTTCAGAGCGTATTAATAGGGAAAGACAATTTCATGGTAACTGTATACCCCAACGTCGATTATGCATTCATAGTGGCTCTCATTGTGATTCTCGACGAAATTAACGAAGACGGCAAAGAAGGCTAGAGACTTGCGGCAGTGTTTGATGCTCTATGTACCTTGGGCACTATTTATAATAACAAATAATAATTAAACTATCACTTGTCGTAATTTACAAATGTACCCTTGTTGTTATGGGTAAGGAGGTAATAATTGCTTTTAGCAGCTGGTTGCCCCTCACTGCTGCCACTGAGTATATAAGATCTGCGTGCCTTTATGGATGTTTATAAATCTTAAAACTCTTTTTTTTTTTTTTTGGTTTTTTCCTATTCTGGTGAGATATGTCATGTTGTAATAATAAATATTGGGGCTGTTTTCTATGCTTGTAAGCGTTGTATTTCTCCCTCCTCTGTATCGGGTTCCCTTACAATCAATAGTAATATGTATCCTACGCAAAGTGTTCTTCTTCTTCTTATTATTATTTTTAGATGAGTGACGATATTCACAGATAGGTGGATACCATTGGCTGAGGCGTCTGGCCTTAAAGCTAGAGCATCAAGTTAAGAGATGAAGAAATTGGTGGTGTGTGATTTCATCTTCGCAGATGGGATTTGGAAGGGAAGGTGGTTGGAGGAAGAGGATATTAGATTAGCAGTGGTCAAATCTGATGATAAGGAAGCATGGCTGAGAAGTAGAGACGGTGAATACTCAGTTAATGAACATCTCAAATGAACTTAATGCCTGATGAACTGCATTCTCAAATAACTATAAACAAGCTAGCATCCGAAGTTGAGATTTGAACGGGGGAAAATTATGACCAAACTATCTGAAATAAAAGTATTTAAATATTTAATTGAAGTCAATGAAATGTAAATGGGAAACATTCAAGCATTAATAAAGGCAACTTATATCGTTGATCCTTTAGTGTTGCCTTTTTTTTTTAATGTAAAAAAAAATCATAAGAATTAAGTACATTTTATCATAAAATTTACAAAACTGTTATTTATACTGAAAGACTTCATCCAAGTTTTTTCTTTCTTTTTTGAAAAAAGTCTAGTTCATAAATAAATTAATCAAATCGGGTTGGCAAAAGAATAAATAAATAAACTAATAAAATCAGGCTTTTTCCCTTCTTTTTTTTTTTGTTTAGTTTTGGGGAGAGGATCAATACGGAGCGTTTGGGAGGCAGCAGCAGCTGCCCCTTGAAGTCGATCAGAAATCAATCTGGAAGCAACGCCTCCGCAGCACCGTCGACGTCGAGTGGCCCTTTCTGCTGCATACTTCATCCTTTCTTATTGTAAGTTATTATTTTCTTATTCCGCCCCATTATTAGAACTGATGGCTTATATATCAACTTAGGGATTATGTTTGTACTTTCAATTTGGAGAAATTTCAACTGCTCCCACTGTGTCTGGTTCTTCTACCACTTGCTTGCTCCGGTCTTGCTCTCTAAATTTCTTTTCGAAATCATAGCCTCTGTGTGTCTCTTCTTCCCTTCGCTTATTCAGTTGCTTTCCTCACTCTCTCTCTCTCTCTCTCTCACATTCTCTATCCATCTCCAATTTTTCATTCTTTCAATCCATTTCCTGCTCACTTTACTTCCACTGATAATATTCTTCACTAGTCGAAGTGTTTCGTCTATATTCCTCTTTCCAATTCCGCAGATATTATCGTCAATTTTTTTGTGGTTTTGTTATAAAAATTACATTTTTCTTTCGTCTTCCGAAGGCCTCTTGGTGGTACTTGACAAAAGCAATGGCCACGAGACTTAAATTGCTTGGGAACGCTGGAGGGAGAATGGCTAACATGTTAGGAATCAAAAGGTGGATGCATTCCAACCTTCATCCTGCACCTTTATCGGGGAGCATTTTCTACGGGGCTACATCACGCCGTTTCGCTTTGCCTGAGTTTAGCTTTCCCAGCTTCTCTTTGGGGACTCTATGGAGCTCATGGCTGTCCCAAAAAAGAAGGTGCTGTGTTAACTTATCTTTCATCTACCATTTATTGCTCTTAATGGGAGCTTCATTCATTTCAAGCTCCCTTTCTTTCTGTCAATTGATTTTAATGTGTGCCGTATCAATCGATATATTATGGAAATGTTATATTCTGAATGATTGATTCTAGTGTCTTATTATTACCTCCTAATCCTATCTTTAATATTACCTCCGTTTCTAATTATAAGACCTCGTAACTAGAGGAAGTATAAGATCAGGGCTAATTGAAAATTTAGTTTGGTCCTAAATATAAGACCTCGATCTGTTTTGTTTTCAATATTTATCCATTTTGTTCCGAATAATCCCCATAGTGATTGCACACATTAAAGAGGTTAATCAAGAATGCACATAATTGATGAGGGTATTTTAGGAGAAAAGAACATCAATTTCTTACAAATAACTAACTCAACTAATTTTCTTAATATCTGTAAATAGTTATCTAGTTCTTATATTAAAGAACAAGTAGTATATTGCATATTGTTCTATTATTTCATTTTTGGAGTTGATTCTGTTTTTTTCAATGGCTTTATATCTGATGTAGGTCTCTCGCCATAAAAGAGGAATAAGAAATGGACCAAAAGCTTTGAAACCTATCCCTGTGATAGTCCGATGCAGGTAAGCTCTAGTTTCTTTCTGAATAATGCTATCTGAGCTATGGTTACCATTCTGTGTGTAAATTCTCACGTATAGGAAATATTTGGGCGTTTTCATCATCAAATTTTGTGGAGTCTTTATGTTCTTTTAATGTGGTTTTAAAGTTCGTTTCATTGCGGTGTCTTGCTTCATGCACATTACATAATCTTGCTTATATCATAATTTAAGGGAGTGCTCGGTTATGCTGGAAATAGGCAGATGAAAAGGAGAGTCAGAAAAATGTGGAGTGAAATTTATGCTTGCTTTGTGCAATTTAGCAAGTGAATGCAACTTGTTTTAATTCTAACCTATAAGCATACAAGCACAAAGGGACGAAAATCGATTTCTCTCTTCAAACCAAACGCAAGCCATCAACAAATCAACACCATAACAGGATAAAAAGCAAAACTTTACCATCGTACTCCAGTTTTTTCTCCCTGCCCAGTGCCAATGACTTCTCTCACATGATATAGATCTAGCTTAAGATTGGAACATAAAACAAAAATGCATTGATAACTGACAGCTGCTAATAATACGGGAACCAGTAAATTGCTACAAATTCACACAAAATCATATTGTGTACTATTCTCCTTGAATGGCCAGAATAAGTTTTACTGAGACAGCCATAGTGCTTGTGAAAACTCTGTGGGGTAGGCTTAAGGGTGAAATGAGGTACAGAAGAATGAAAATAACTCTTATATATGTTTGACTGAGAATGTGAGTTGAGATCTAACGTGTCTTCCAATTCTCATTAGTTTCAAGTGCATGTGTGTTTTTTCTGAGTCAGCGGTGATTAATGTAAATTCCTTTGCAGAAGTTGTGGCCGTGTGAAGCTTCCGCACTTCTTCTGTTGCAGTGGCGATAGAAGTAATACAGGTGAGCAAAGTGGATCGACCAGCTAGTCACGGTGTCTACATCTGAAGCAAGTGTTACTCTAGCCAAAGCGATTACATGTTGACTTTCCTCTTGATCGATCGTTAGCTGTTCGGGGGATTTGTAGCGTTGTGTTTTGTTTTATTTTATTTCATTTATTAACATGACCGTGGTTTTCATCCTTTGGAAGCGGTGAACGGAAAGAGTTCTAGAATTTTCGAGTTTGTGTCTTGCTTGCGTTGATATTTCTAATAATACAGTCAAGGCAAAAGGTTAGCTATTTCTTGTTGAAATATTGTCAAGTTAAAGCGAACCATTATCCCCAAGAAGGTTTAAAAACAAAAAAAAAGAAGTTAAAACAACATATTACTCTAAATTATCATTTACAAGTTTTTTAGGATTATTAATACAAGTTACTTGACAAAATATTTAAAATGTTAATTTTTCAGGATGCGCTTTTCGTTGGGCCAAAAAAATAAAAGGAGGCCTTTGTCTTTATATGCAGAAAAAATGACTCTTGTCCCTAATATAAATATTAGTTAAAGAATATATATGGTTTTAAATATAAAATTTTGATTCACTTTTTCCTGTTCTGGTTATTATTTTCTCTTAAAATAATTTACCTAATTTATAATCTAATATTACTTTAAAATGTTTTCAAGTAATCATGTCACAATTTGCTATAATTAATCAATTTATTTGACTATTTTATTTACCCAAGTTAGTTAAAGAACCTAAAGGATAATATATAAAAAGAAGTAAATGATTTTATGAAAAAATTAAGATACAAAATTAGTTTATTGGAATGAAATCAATAATACTGTCGTTTTATTTTTTAACTGTTATTTTCCATTTTCACGTTTTGCTCCCCCCCGTATTTTGCATTTGCAAGGGCATGTTCTTTTTTAATTGAAGGTAACAAAGTGTTAGTTTTAGTGTTAATTAGAGGCATATTAAATAGCTTTAAATTGACATTATTATAACAATGAGCATATTCCAATTTTAATTAAAGATTACAATAGTGTCAAATTTTATGTTGTTTGCATGTTAAATAGTTTCAAATAAACATTTTTGTAATAGTGATTTTCAAGATGCTTTGTGAGTTATAATTGATGCTAGTTAATTGAAGAAAAGCAAATAGACACAAGCTTAAATTTAATTACATGTTAGCAGAAACAAGAATCGAATTCAACATAAATTACAATCATGAGTGGATAAGCCCCACATTTCAGGAGACAATCACACCTATCAGCGGCACGAGCTTATGATTTCACCTAAATAAATATACACAATGGGCAAGAGTGCGAACATCACACAGCAGAAAGGCAAAACAATAGGGGATATTTACACAAAGAAAATGACATTATTTGCCAAAGCCTCCAACCAATATTCAGGATTTTTCTTCAGGACCGAGTGCAGCTGGCTCCCACGGAGGCTAATGAATAAATTCCATAGACGATCAGTAGAGTGCATCCTACCCAATATTTCCAGATGTATTCACAGCTGACGGGTGCAGCAGCATAGCACGATGATTCAACCGTGTGTATGGTGCTCCTGATATCATGTTTGTACTTTGTTGCAACTACGCAGAGAAGAGAGAACCAAAAAATATGATATCATGGGCGATATGTTGATTCATCTTGCTTGGGTGTTCTCATCAGCATAGATGCTAACACAAGCATCTGCATCACCAGCGGCCAGCAATACTTGGTATGGATGAAAACTGAGACAGCTGACGGAACCAATTTTCTGGCCATCAAGGTTGGATAATATCTAATACAGCCTAGTTGGTCACCCTCCAGGCTAAAGACTTTGATGATTTGTTTGGCTGAACCACTGGCTATAATCGGAGCATGTCTATGCACTGCTAAAGCTGTAAGTGAGCCCCTGTGAGCATCAATAGTGAGATAGGCATCTGTCTGATTTCTGATATCAAGGAATTGTATATCCCCTGCCTGAGAAGCACTGACAATCTGAAGGGAAAAACATGCCATATGATTTCATCTCTCCATGTTAAATCAAAATAAATATATTGCGGGCCATTATTCCCCAAAAAGTGTAGCAAGATTTACAAATTATAGACAAAGGCATGCAACCAGCAAGATATTCCTCTTACCTTTCCTGGATCTAGTCCAGGTTGAAAGCTGATCCCCACAACCTTTTCTACTCGTTGTGTGTGGGGCCGTAATTCACAGACAACCCTAAGAACATCATTTTACAGCAACAAAGATTAGTGAGGCAACAAGTGGCTTGTATATACATCATTCTAGGACTAACTGAAAAGGACAGGTCTAAGTATCAAGATACACCTAACCATAGAGAAAGTATTATAAAACAGAAGCCAACAATCATGAAAGGAGAAATTCATTAATCTGAGAAGCTTACATTTCCGGTGTCCTGACATCATAGAGTCTTACAGAACCATCAACAAATCCAGCTGCAAATTGTCCCCCATGAACTTGAGATGCAGCCTGAACATAATGTATGATATATCAGTGAAACAGGATTTAGATGTGTAATCAGCATAACACATGGTACAAAATAAAACTGGAAGATAAAGGAATAAAGACAACGTGATCTGTTCAAAGGTTTGATGGAAAAGAACAAGTTGATTCAGGATATTGTAACAAGCTTAGTTTTCAGATCTGGAAAGGAAACCTCAAGTGGCATCAGAGTTTATAAGACAAATTATAACCAGTAATGAGAGATAAGTCAACTATGAGAACATACAGTGGTTAATTAAAATAAATCAACATAGAATTTGGATAAGGATACGATACATCTGATTCACCATTATTTAAAAATTACATTAAAATGCAAATTCTAATAATCTATAGTGTAGATTTAAGTTGATGTTTTCTTGGAAAAATATACTTGTACTTCAAAGCAGCACCTTGGTTATTCCTCTCGACTTTATGGATAAAGGCTGAAAAAAAATGCATGCACACATAAATACATCGATGCCCATATATGTTCACACACCCATACGAGTTATGTATTTGTAAATTATGCCAATGTGCCAATATGCGTGCTTGCCTGTGGGCTTATACAAATGTGACTATATCTGCAGTGGTATATATTCACACGTGTGTTACACATACATATGCGTTCTCATATATATCAGTAGGCACACATGCATGTGCAGCGTGAATTACATAAATGTGGCCATGTATGTTCAGGCACACATGCATGTGCAGCGTGAATTACAGAAACGTGCCCATGTATGTTCTCATGCATGGATGTGCTAATGTACATTTGACGCATATGTGCCTCTACATGTGTGAGCATGCGCATCCAAGTATGGATGTGCGTGTCTACATATGCTTGTATATGTGCATTTGTGTATGTGTAATGACGGAAGTGAATGGCTCCACAAGATATCTGTGATTTGTTAGATTGGTCCAGAGCCACATCTATTAAACTTTGGATCCTAAATTTGTCAATATGGTGCATGCCTGAGGGCTTATCTCTTAGTTGAACCAAATAGGGCGTTTAATGGACCAGTGATGGAAGATCAGATTGCCATCCATATGTTAAACCAATAGTTAACTAGCTGTTTCATAGAGTTCTTATTTTTTAATAGTTCTTAGACATTATGAAAAGGAGACCCAAGTAAAATGACCACAATAGGAAGAATTTGCTTCTGGCGAGGTACTGCATTAGCATGGGTTAGGAATTCGATGACTACAGCACACAATTTGGAAGATTGGATGCAGCCTAAAATAGGAAACCATGTAACGGATTTTTCCAGAAAACAGATATTGGGGGAGTTATCTACAAAGTGATGCTAATTTCCAGATTAATACTTCCAGGTGGATTGTACAACCCATCTGTCTGGAAACATCAACTTTGTCCATGCTTCACATGCAATCAGCCGCAGAGTTTCCATGCCAAGATAGTTCACATAAATATAGCCAAGAAATATAAAAAGACTGAGGCTTACCAAAGCTGAAATGCTACACTCTGATGATGAAGGTATAGGATTAACGAGCTGCTCTTTATCCAAATCCCAATGCATAACAGACGATATCTCACCTGAAGCATACTAGTGAAATAACAAGGAATAAGATCATCAAAGGGATCATCACAACAAAAACGTAGTCAGAAATACAGATACATTGGAGTACAGAAGATGCTCCACAACCCCAAGAAGTTCATAGAGAACTGTATACCAGATAACCACTTTGTTGTTGCCAATCAACAACAGCATTCAGACCCAGAACACCAGGCTTATGACCCTGGATTGAGGAAAAAGCAGTGACAAGCTTTTGTTTACCCTTCAAAGTATAATCTTTCCAAATTCGAATATTTCCATCAGCTGCATCATAACGAGTGAATCAAATTGAGAGGTCAACATATTTATGCAACCAAAAAAAGCGGAAAAGGTCAAAAAACAGAAATGGAGAATACATGAAGCAGCCAGAAGCAAGCTGTCGTCAAGCTCATTAACTAGGCAGAGCTTACAAATTCCTTTGTCAGGAAAATCGTGATTATCAAAACTATTCAGAAGCGCTGCTTCTTCATAATTCCATACTCTGCAGAAATATTCAAGGAACATTTGTCAACAGTAATAATCAAAATTGCATAACTAAACACAATAGCAATTAAATTCATCACGACTAGAAGATTAGTCTGTATGCCAGTCAATAAAATGAATTCCTATTTTCTACAAAATTAAAATAGGAATGCCATGCATTTGTTTAGCTACTTAAGGGTAACTAATGAAATAATAGAATATAGAAATCAGGCCACCAGTCATGATCGGATTGGTATAAATTGTGCAGTAGCTCACACTATTCTGTCATGCAAGAAACCACCCAGCCTCAGGACGCATGGGTTCTTGGCAGCCCGAATGAGAATAGTATTATTTTACTCAATTCTCTCTCAATTCTCTCTTGCAGCCCCACCCCCATGAACCCTAAACTTTTAAATTACATATGACTCTTCGATCCTCAGATTCTGTCTATATAGTATCAGCCAGAGTCCATTGTACCATGACAAGTGAATGCTAAAAGATGTACCCTTTAATGTCATTTTTTATTTACACAATTATTGGACTATGATTTTGATGGATAATCAAGTAACTCTCCCACATAAGGTAGTTATTGAGATGGGAGAACCAAACAACTTGAACACCCCATAGAGCATCCCACACTGCTCCCTGTGGGACTTGGACATATGGCGCTACTTTAATGTCCATCAATTGGCCCTATTTGCAAAGCCAACATCCTGCCACCTAACAGATTCTATTCTCATGCTACTTTAGTCACCGTCTAATTTATAAGGAGCGTAAACAAGCAAGTCTCATGCATAATTTAATCTTTCAAAACGAAAAATTGTGTTCTTTTATGAACCACAACTTTTAACCAATTTTTAAACTTGATGTTGTAAATGACTCATAATTCAACTAGATCATTCAAATAATTGGTATTCCCATTCCTAATTCTGTTCACAGTTTGGAAAGAAGGTTATTTTGATCACTTTGTAGCACACGCTTCCATTTATTTGCGGGTCGAACTCTATGTTCTTGATTAATACCATAACATAAAACTGGGATTTTTATACATTTTTAATGCCCATAATATTTATTAGTCAGTATTATACACTTTTAGCCCTTTCCAGCTAACGGCTATAATGACTCTGGACACTGCCCTAACTATTACGCCCCAAAAAATTCCAATCATAATCGTAAACTTTTTCTGAGCAAGATGGCATCATGATATCAGTCTCCCCTTGGCCAACGGAAAAATCAATGAAATTTGTATACCTGACCCGTTCGTTTTCATCAGCAGCTATTACTATTGGAGAGAAAGGCTGTAGTAATGTTTTTTGAATACCCTTTATATCCCATTTGGCAAGTGGATTCGTTAACTTCCTGACAGCTGAACAGAACAGAATGGATTATATAATCAATTTAAGGTATTAAGATTAATTAGTCAATGGAATTAAGATATATAAATACAACACAAACCAGAGTGCTGGCATTTTGATATGTGCTCCAATACCAAATTTTCTCTCTCTTCTCTTCTAGCCAATAATTCATCACTGTCATCTGCAGCAGTTAAGAGTGGCTTGGAGAAGTGCCCACAACTCCATTTATATATAGTTGATTGTGGAAGAAAACTACGACGATCTGAAGGCCCAGAGCTTCCACCAGAACCCAAAAGTGGATCCGCTAAACCAGAATCAGGAGAATTTATCAAGTGTGGCCTGAACTCTAGAGAGTACACTCTTCGCATTCCAGTTAAGTAGCTTGGGCGAGGAGGACTGACTGGAGGAGTTCTGAAAGTTAGAGGCAAGTGACCTGCCAAAACAGCATGCAATAGAAACAAGAAGGCCAATGACACAGTGGAAAAACTAATCACAAAAAATTAAACTGGTGCAACATAGAGGGAAGCTACACCAAACTTCATTGCAAAAGGACAAAGGCAAAGAAGGCATCTACCTCCATTCATATCAAACCATGAAGATGAACGAACTAGCCCAGCAAAACTAGATGTTGTTGGTTCACCAGTCTGAACATTAGTAGATTTCGATGGTTTTGCGACTACTTGTTCAATGCCTATTATGGATAGCACCCGACGACCGAGGTTTGCAATACGTGGAGATGGATCTTTAGCTAAAGTGCACATAGCAAATACACATTGTGAGTACAATGCATTGTCTAGGGGTTTTGGTGCAGGGTGGTTAACCACCCCATTGCTTAAACCATCACCAAGTATTCCTGAATCAGAATGATGAGATGAATCATCAGACAAAGGTGACCCACGCATAATTCCAGAATTTGCTAGAGGACTGCTAGAAGAGACCCGTCCATCTTGAACCACGGAAGAATATAAATACAACACAAACCAGAGTGCTGGCATTTTGATATGTGCTCCAATACCAAATTTTCTCTCTCTTCTCTTCTAGCCAATAATTCATCACTGTCATCTGCAGCAGTTAAGAGTGGCTTGGAGAAGTGCCCACAACTCCATTTATATATAGTTGATTGTGGAAGAAAACTACGATCTGAAGGCCCAGAGCTTCCACCAGAACCCAAAAGTGGATCCGCTAAACCAGAATCAGGAGAATTTATCAAGTGTGGCCTGAACTCTAGAGAGTACACTCTTCGCATTCCAGTTAAGTAGCTTGGGCGAGGAGGACTGACTGGAGGAGTTCTGAAAGTTAGAGGCAAGTGACCTGCCAAAACAGCATGCAATAGAAACAAGAAGGCCAATGACACAGTGGAAAAACTAATCACAAAAAATTAAACTGGTGCAACATAGAGGGAAGCTACACCAAACTTCATTGCAAAAGGACAAAGGCAAAGAAGGCATCTACCTCCATTCATATCAAACCATGAAGATGAACGAACTAGCCCAGCAAAACTAGATGTTGTTGGTTCACCAGTCTGAACATTAGTAGATTTCGATGGTTTTGCGACTACTTGTTCAATGCCTATTATGGATAGCACCCGACGACCGAGGTTTGCAATACGTGGAGATGGATCTTTAGCTTTGCAATACGTGGAGATGGATCTTTAGCTAAAGTGCACATAGCAAATACACATTGTGATCTTTAGCTAAAGTGCACATAGCAAATTGTGAGTACAATGCATTGTCTAGGGGTTTTGGTGCAGGGTGGTTAACCACCCCATTGCTTAAACCATCACCAAGTATTCCTGAATCAGAATGATGAGATGAATCATCAGACAAAGGTGACCCACGCATAATTCCAGAATTTGCTAGAGGACTGCTAGAAGAGACCCGTCCATCTTGAACCACGGAAGAATTGTCAGTTCCAACCCTTAAAATCGGACCGATCTGAGGTGAAACAATACTGCCATGAGGTACATGTTGGTTTTGGCTAGCATAATTACGACTTGAACCCTTAATATGAGCCAATGACGGTAAGGAGCTCAATAAAGCATTTGTCTGGGGTTTCCAATATGCAGCAGCAACAGACTTTAGGTGTTTGTTGTGCCCAAAGGCAAAGCGTGCAAGAGCTGAAAAGTTTTTAAAAAAAATAATAAAAGTAAGGAAAAAATAATTTCAATTCCATAGGAGTTCCACAGTTGAGCAACTTTAACCAGTCCAACAAAGTTCATGAACAGACGAGGTGAATGAAAAGGTTCCTAGAGTTAAAAGGCCAAGAATTGTCAAGTATCCTTCCCTTTGAAATGAAAGCAGGGTTTAGATATGCCAGTGAAGTTAAAGACATGCCTAAGGCACCAGGAAGCCAGAACGGGGCCTTGAATCGTAGTGAATGAGGCAAGGCTCCCTCAGCCAGGCCCATGACTTAAGTACCTTTGGAACAAAAGTCAGTTGACACAAGTTCAAAACCAAAGTTCATGATATTAGGGCTGCTACATTTTTTTGGTTGTGGAGTTGAAAATCTATGGCTTTATCATAATTTATATTTAATATTTAATATTACATATGAATTTTACAGTTAATCATTCATATGTTGACATTACATTATGATAGTCAAAATTTGTTTATAATATTTAATATAATTCTTCTTTCTCGTCCCAATTTTAGCACCTTACCTCCCCAGCACATAGGAGTTGAGGAACCCAAAAGGGGTTAGTAGGGTCACTTCAGCAATTTGACACCCCCATAAAGTTTACGCACACCACGCAAATTTTGTAAGTCATTAATTAGTATAGAATACCAACTGTGTTCCATGTTTGGTACTTTCCGTTTTTCTAATACACACAGGTAAACTTCAAAACAGTTTAAATAATCAATTAAACTCTTGCGCTTAATAACTTACCAACTGCAACCTCTGCCCTAACCAATGGACTCCCATCTGAAGCAACTCTCAGAAGACTTTTAACTATGGTAACCTCAACCCTAACTTTTTCATCATCATCACATTCTTCATCTCCCCCAACACCTTTACAAGAGTCAAATCCCACATCAAGAAGGATACCCAGTGCAAACACAGCAGAAGCCCTAACCTGAGAAAGATTTTCAAAATGTGAATTATATAATTTATATGATTATTTGCCCATTTGTTTAAGCTTAAAAAAATGATTTTAATTAAGCTAAGCATGAGGGATTGGTTAGATTTGAATTGCTTGTTTAAGCTTTTTAAAATAATCCCTTCCAGGAAAAAATATGTTTTCAGCTTACCAAAGTAAGCTGCTTGGATTGGCTTTCAAAACGGGCCACTTTCTTCAAAAGTGCCTTTTTATGTCCTTTGTTGTTTAAAGATTTTATGAGTTGAGCTAAACAGCCATCGTTCTTTTAAATAATTTGAAAATAATTTTTTTATGCTTAAACAAACAGGCCCAATAAATATTCTGAATAGAATACAACTGAATATGAAGAAGTTTAACCTCTGGCTGCGGTTCAGATAGTAGAGAAGCATATATAGACGGCGCATCTGCCTGCAAACCTATTATTTGGGCCTCAGTAAAGTCTTCCCAAAGTTTCCCCAGACAGAGGCAAAGCCACTGTAGGAACAGGGGTTCATTTTGTGAATCATTGGGAGACGAACTCCGGAGGTGATTTAAGCAGACATGAATTAGACCAGCTTCTATACAAGCTTCTTGGCCCCGTCTATGCCCATCCACAATCACAGCCAAAACAAAAGCAGCCATTGCACGTTGCTCAGGATATGCTTCCATGCTATCAAGAAACTTAATAAAATAGATATGTCCTCCATCCTTTACTAAATCAACCTGACACGACTGCAGCCCAACAATTAGGCATTGTTGAAAGAATAGACATAAACCAGGTAATGCTTAAAATAAGTAGTGGAAAAACCAAAATGATCAAAGTTTAGCACCGAGAGGGATAACATCAATGACTGATAACACAAATGTGAAAATACTTTTATCAGAGCTTATAGGGTTTGCATGCAGCAATGGCGTTAAATGACAATGGATGGTATCGCAATTATGAAAGTACAGTATGTAGGGGGAAATCGAAATAAAAGTTAAATTTAAGAAATCAGAAGTATATTTGGCATATTACTGGTAAGTCATGTCCATGATGTTAAGATACTCCAAAAGGTACCTTGTCGAGGGCAAGTATCTTTGTCCATATGAATACAAGAATTCGACGGAGTTCTGGTGTTGTTGTTTGCAACAACTTTAGAACATAAGGAAATATTCCAACGGATAATGCCTACACGTAGAAAACTTGGGTTCAGGTTATGGCATCACAAAACCAATCATAGAAATATAAGACACCAAGAACCAAAAGGGCAAATGATTTAAAAGAGACATGAGATATTTACCAGATCTACAGCCCATGGCCCCATATCAAGGAACCTTCCCAGGAGTGCTAGAGCTCGAAATCGATGGCATTGACTCAACAATACCTTAAACAAGAACAATGCTAGACCAATAAATGCAAAGGCCATGTGCCAAACAATTTTCCAGAGGGCAGAAAGTACACATAATATGAACAAGAGTAATAGATAAGCTAGAAATTAAACTCAAAGGATATTTTAAACTTGAGAGAAATCATAGAAATATGAACCAATTTGTGTAGTCACCTTATAATGAACAAGGAAATGATTGGTGAGCATACAAATTGGAAACGCATTAAAATTAAAAGACCAGCCAATTGAGAAGCAGTATATAACTTCTGAGTGCATACATCACCTCCAAGAGTTGAAATGGCAAATGGGATCCAAAATTAGTCTTGATTGCATAACTACTTTCGGATCTAGTAATGAATTACATGGCCAAACGTTGATAAAATATGGCAAAACTAGTTATCATCAGCATCATGATAGTGATCAACCTATATGAGACCACTTCAAGCAAGAAACGCCTTGATCCAATCCACCAACAGAGGACCAAAGCCCGACAACAGATTTTGCAAAAATCATGCAAAGTGCATAACAAAAGTAGAAGGAACCAAACCAGTGGTTCAAAAGACTTAAAACAAGAGGAAGACTTGTGCCATACCTGAAGAACTATAGGCAATTGCTCTGGTGGTTTCTTGTGTTCGGAACCATGGTCAAGCCATACCTCAAATGCTGTCAACTGCTCAGTGAAAAATGTACTAGGCTGAAAGAAAAGGCATATATTTCACCAAGTAAGCCAAAGCCAAACCTCTTCAGCTATCACGGTTCAGGCATTATTTTATTGTTTTCATGAATTACAGAAACAATTAAATAAAACAAGTTCCAGGTATAAACTCTTCTAGTCTGCTTCAGACAACTGAAAACAATCCAAAATACCTGAAATTCTGCGTTAGGATCCTCAACTAATGAAGGAAGTTGTGAAAGGCAGAGTTCAGCAGCCATGTCCCAAGCATCCCTGCAGCAGCAACATAACACAGTGAGAACAACTATTGTCAGCCTAAATTAATACTCCCTCCGTCCCTTTTTCAAAGAAACAATCTCTCTCATAGTAGTATCCCTAAATATAAGAAACAAATCCTCTTTATCTAAAATTTTAAACTTGTCCTTCCAATTTTAACCCCATTAAATTTATGTCACTTGTTATCTCTCTGCAATAAATTTCTACTCATTATGTCATGTACTATCTTTACAAATAAGGGTATAACTGAAAAAATATGTATATATCTTACCCATTTATTGCTTTTAACTAGATTTAACTAACATTTTGAACCGCACACTTTTCGTAGTTGTTTCTTATAACGAGGGACGTAGGGAGTATATTCTAACAACTAACTCCTATGTACCACATATGATGCTGATGGGTTGGCGGCAGAATTGGGTGAGAAACAGGAGAGCAATTCGCAGATCGCATAATTCGCTCCGCAAGTAGAAAGTTTCGAAAAAGACTAGCAACAAGCAAATCTTGTCTGAACAATCTCTGGAAAAGATCTGCAGGGCAATAATGCACATGATACACGATACCAATACAATCAATAAATCAACCACAACATGGTGAGTCAAAAATGCACACCATCTGGGATGAGGATGATTAAGGCCTACCATGAGGGAGAACATTCCAGGCGATAGTATCGGTCACTGCAGTGAAGATCCAATTCAATTCACCCAGAAGCGTCTTTCGGTCATTTGGCCGGCCGGGGATCTTGTCTATAAGTGAATAATCAAGTGATTCATGAAGTAATGAGCGAGTGCAAAACCTAGGAGACAGATCACACCAGAGTTACAAATAGCATTTTACATTAAATGAAAAGACAAACCCCCGTAAAATGTTGAATCTGAATAAATCAAATTACGGAAAGAAAGTATCCAGTGCAAAAACAAAATGGAAGCCCCTCTGAACGGCTGATAGTCAACATCCACAAACAATCATATGGATAAAATTACACAAAGGTCCAACTCCAGTAACTGACATCAAAGTGCCCAACAAACACAAGAATAAAGAACAAAGATAAGTGCAATGTCACGTTGATCCACAGTAACTTATACAAACTACAGTTGAATATACTTTTCTCTTTAGAAAGAGGACGTTTCTTCTCTTGATAATCATATAGCCCTATCATCATATTTTCCCTTTTTATTCATTTGAAATTGAAATTAGATAAATGACAAAATCTTCGATCAATGAACAAACCACACAGAAAGAGCCAATATGCTTTAATTGGTCCATTATCTCTAATGCCACTTGAGAGAATCATAAATCACAAAAATTTTAGAGGCGAAGAGGTTGGCAAGATACTTCCTTCTCGTCTCTCAATCCAAGTCCATCTTTCAGACTTTCTTCAAACACACACAAACACACAGACTGATACAGTTTCTTCAAATATGAAGAAAAAACACCCAAGATTATATAATGCGCGCTTCATCACCAACGAGACATAAGCACAAACTAAGGAAGAACTAATAAGGAGAAAATCTTCACCATCGCAATGCCATCTTGATAGGTGTTGTAAGACAAGAAGTAAACACGTCAGCTGGGAATTCAGCACTTTGAGGCAAAGTCTCATGTGCTTCACATGCTGCAAGCAGAATACAATCCCTTGTGGACCCAGCAGAGCTAGAAGCATTCCATTCATGAAGCTATTGAATCACAAGTCCAGCAACCAATGTGGCAGTCCAAATTACAAAGTGATAAAATCAGTTGCAATATTCTTTTTTGTAATTTTCTTTTAGTTAACATTGATGACGCTGAGTACCTCAATAAAACTATTGACAATCCTCCCAGCAGCAGAGCAGTCAAAAACATAAATTGATGGGGTCCTCAGCCATGAATCAAGGTCACTAATCGGTAAAGGGATATACTGTGTGTAACTCTGCAAAATGGTCTAACGGTGGATGAGAAGAAAGATAATCAATAAGTATGATTTACTAGGGACTTTTTTTTAAAAAAATTATAATTAGCGATCCATAAATCAGGAAAATCAGGACTTTTCGGTTAAAATTCTCAGCATTTGGGTTTCTTATTGGTAGGATAAGGATAAGGATGTTCTGCCTGAGAATATTGTTAACTCTAGTACTCGTTCATGGAAATAGGACTTAATTACTGGCAGCCTATTTATCATATAACATATTATCCCCATTGATAAAATATCTAAACGGAACCAAAGATCGAATAGTAACAACAGCATGATAACCAGCCTTTTTAGATTACGTGACATTAAATCCCTTTTTTCATTTCAGATGGCAGTAACTCCAATTTTCTTCCTTCCTCCAAATTTTCAAACAAAAGGAAAGAACAAAATTATCATCATTCCTAAATTTCCATCCTTTCAAACTTAGCTTACTCATTCCTACTCGTAAGCAGGCTATAAATCATGTTAGGGAAAGTCAGTTAAAATAAACTGTTATTCAGGCTACCAACCATACAACCAAATAAGTTTTCCTGTTCCATTTTATTATCATCACTGTAAAGAATCAAAAATACATCGCAATTCAAAAATAACAAACACACCTATTCTTAGGTGTATTGACGTGTTGACACCAACATTGCTAACTCATTCCAATACCTAACTGACATTCCAGAATTTTTTTTTTTTTTTTGGTTGGGGAAAAAAAATAGTCTTTGACACAAGCCAGAATGGGCTTCAACAATAATGTGAAAGATACTAAGAATATAAAGTGACTGGCTGTGTTTTTCTTTGAAACTGAATGAAGATTTCAAGAAACAATAATTTAAACGACATGAAGCCAAGAGATTTATATGGCATGTCCTACAATTTTTTATATTGTTTGAAATTAAGCATGTTCACAAGTTTTTCACCATTGATCTCCATTTCATCAACCAAACAAACATCTCACATCAAGGACTACAAAAGGTATGACCTTATTGAAGACCCAAATTTCACCGTTGGAAGTAGGCTTTGGCACACCATGTCCATTGTAATGAAATAGCACTCTTTCCGATTTCGCATATCGCCGACATGTAGTGCAAAGCTTCTTGACCTCATCCACTGTGGGATCAAGTTGACACTTATAGCGGGCCTGTTCATATGCCAACATGTTAACTAGAGACTAACCTCAAAGAAAACATGATAGAAAGAAAACAGTTATACATCCGCACCTTTGGTTGCCACCTTTCATATTGACTGCTCAAAGTTTTACCAATTGATTCCAATGCTTTTTGAGTTGCCATAGAAAAAGGATCTACAGCAATGAAACAATTTTAAAATAATATATTATACCTCATTTCTCATTCAACATTAACAATCACATGCTACCATCCCTATTAATTTAAACAACTAAGATAATGCAGTTTCCCTCACATTATCATGTGCTATAGTTAAAATTGTGAGCATGCAAAGTTTTAATATTCAGAAACAGTTTTCTCAGCAATGAAACAATACATGATGATAAAGAGGGGAAATGTGAAAACAGTTCAAAAAATGATATTAGTCAATCTAGACCACAAATGTTCACAAAACGATCAATAATCAATCCATATTACACCCTAAGAAGATTATAATTCAAAAAAAATCGCGCACAAAATCAGCTTTACTGTTCATGACCAGACAATTACTTTTCTAGATAGATCAGCAAAGCTTATAAAATTAACAATATTCTGGACAACAAAAGAAAAGGGTTTTAAAAAAATTCTTGTATTTAGAAACCAAACACTTTCCAAACATTAGCCAATCACCACAGAGATGCTAAAATTTAGTCCGCAACCGAGAGGAAGTAAGATATAAAACACAAATTAAGATTGGCAGGGTAAAAAGAGACCTATCCAGCACTCCATTCGGGCACAGGGAGATATCTTAATTACATCAGGTGGATCAACACTAATGTTTAAACATAATACTAGAGCTACATGTCCTGTCTTCATCTGCACCACAAAATTGGGAGTTATATTAAAGCAGACTTCTCAGAAAAGATTCAAAATATAAGCATCTTCCAGGAGCATTCATTGTGATATTAAAGAGTTAAAAGAAAACTCTTATTGACAAATTCTACGACCCCAAATATAGCATATCAGGCACAATGCAATTACACAATACAATTACAACAACTCTGCCTAGGGTTGTGTTAGGCTCTCGACAACCAACGTAAAACAGTCAAATCTTTTATGACACAATACAATACATCAGATACAACAAATTTAAAAGTTTAAGATACAGATACAAGAAATATTACAACAAGTTAACACATGAAAAATAAAGAACATAAAATATTTTGAATTTTAAAGAAGTATTTAATAATTTAATAAGTACTATAATAATATTCATAACAAGCAACCAAAAAAATTCGTTAGTTGTTTTGGAACATCTCAGTTAAAAAGTAATAATTCGAATGTTAGGATATGTTACAGTATCTTGAAGTTCAGTGGGAGTATCATGTATATGTACATTTACCGTTTTGAACTACTAATGCAAGACAGGACAAACTATTCTGATCAGGAAATGTAAAATGTGAGAAAGATTAAACAACAAGCATCAATTCAATTCATATATCAAAGAGAATTTAGCTACAATGAATAGAATAAAGGCAGAGAACTTCCAAGAGAGACAAACATAATCAACAAGGTTCGTTCCACAAAACTGAAAATCATTAGCTAGGAAGTTTTACTATACCAGATATGATGTTCTCCCACAGGAATTTGAAATTTCTTACACAAGAAACCACGTCCATACAAGTCACTTCCATAACAAATAGACAAAAAAGCTCCTCTATTTAGATAATGCCACATACATAATGGAATTTCCAGGTTCCATTAATACCTTAAAAACATTAACTGACCCCAGTTTACATTGTCATCACTACTCTAAATCAGGTTATCATGTTGAGCAAGCATCAATCAATGTTGGCATAAAGCAAATGCAAAAGTTCTTCTGCTGAACAGAGCACAAGGACAATTGCCAACAAAATAATTCCCAGTTGATAAAATCTTAAATTCTTAATTCATTACAACAGCACTCCGACCAATATATAGGACAGAACAAGATGTTCATGGTTACAATTTAATAGCTGTTACAGGACACGTATCTGCTTGTTTTTAAAGTTAAAAATGTTTATGTCCGAGGCACTCTTTCAAATTTCTCTTGTCAACTGAAGAAATAGCAATTTTTGTAACTAAGCTTTAGGTGATTCAAGCATCCTTCTTGGAGAAATTTGTCACAACACCTAAACAGTGTAGAGAAGCTTCAATCCATTTAAAAGGTTCAACAACAACAACAAGCATTATCTCACTAGGTGGGGTTGGCTTTAGCTACATGGACCGCGTGTTCTTTTCCGTCTTCCCCTACCTTTTTTCACAAGACTCCATATTACTTGATCTACCCTCCTCACATATGCATCCAGTGGCCTCCTTCATACCAATCCAAACCACCTCAAACAATTTTTTCATTTTCTCTTCAATAAACACTGCTCCAACTCCAAGGCTTTCTCATATATGTTCATTACAAATCTTATGACCACACATCCATCTTGACATCCTGGTCTCTATTACCCCCACTTTATGCTCTTGTTGTTGTTTTGAAGCCCAACATTCACAACCATATAGCTTGTTGGTCTTAGAGTAGCTGGATAAAACTTCCCCTTTACCTTATTAAATACTCTCTAATCACAAATAACTTCCGGTAGCCTTTCTTCCCTTCAAAGGTTCAGATGCCAGTAAAAGATAGAAGCTTTAGTCATAAATCAAGTGCTGACTAACTAACTTTCTTTCAACCTAATATTATCCAATTGTTAAACCATTTTTCAACAATTACAATAATTATATGTGTCATTCACTCAAACTGAACTGCTATCAGAAATATATCAGACGTATACTGAACTAAACAGTAAAATCTTACTCGGTCCTTGATTCGCCATTTCGAAACCAACCCACTTTCAGAGGGACCGGTGGGAACAGAGGCCTCAAAGGCTTCATGCCGTAGCTCGCATAACACAACAGTCTGGGGCAAATACGCCATACTTGTGGTGGTGGCGGCGACCGCAGCATTGCCATAACTACTGCTGGCAACCTCAGAATCCCTTTTGTGCGATCCCAAATCGCTATCTTCATGTGTTGACGACACACAGTCGTCCGAGTGGTTCGGAACCACCACCACCAAAGATTGTGAAAAACGAGATGACATTAAATCCCCCAATGCCATCCAAACCCAAAACCCTTAAACGACAGAGCCAACCCACAGAGGATCATTCAACCCTGTGCTAAAAGAAAAACCGTAGAGAAAGCCAAAAAGAATAGTACTTTCTTCAAAAGTGTAGGATCGGTGAAGCTGGGAAGCTAATCAACGAAGCCGCTGAACCAGCGGCGCATGAAGATGCGCCAGATGAAGGAGAGGTAATCCAGCTCGGAAAGTCTCGGAAAATGAAAGGCACAGGTCTGACAACCCTAGGAACCCTAACAAAGGAAGAAGATGGTGGTGGCGCATTGAACAGGGGCGTCACTCCGGTAATGCTACAGTTTAGTGAAGGGAATAAAAGAATTTGGGGAATCGGATGTGCGCGTCCTTTGGCGTTATACCACGTCTTGTCTTCCCCTTTCTCCCCAACCCCATTCTTTTAATATACGTGAAGGGTTATTACCCCGTGATTAGAATTTGGGATGAATTGGGTTGGATTATTGATAAGTTGGCAATGATGATTTGGGAGTTTTTGTTGCCAGAAAGAAAACAGAGATTTGTGATCTTTTATCAATCAGATTTTTATGTATGATGAGACACCCCTACCAACTTTAATTAAGGAGAAATGGTTGAAAAAAAAATAAAATAAAGCTTCTGAGTTCTAATCTATCCATGTTTAAATACAAAATTTTTGAACATGCCCTGCATTATCTTATTATCTCTCCTAACTATCAAGTGATTTACAATAGTTGGCGAACAAAAGCGGGTTACGACAAAAGTGACCGGCTGAGGGAGAAGTATTCATGCGTATCTCTGATTGTGTATGATTTATCAGGTGGGATGACCCAATTAAAGTGAGAAAGGTAATTAATGAAATAGGAAGATATTTTCTTGAGCTTATTTATAAATTACTTTCAATATATTTTACTAAAACTTTAAATTTTATTAATTTTTATTTAAAATTTAATAATTTTCTAATTTTATCTCTACTTAATATATATTATACTTCATGCAAACAAAGACAACGCAATAATAGTAAAATTGTATATCCATATGAAAAATTTCTCTCCGTGCCTTATAAATAACACCAAAAAATGTCTTCTTTCTCTACTCTATAAATAGAATCAGAAGTAAGTTTTAAAAAGCCGAGTTCCTTTTTTAACTAGCTCCCTTTCTTTTGATACGAGTAAGGATCGAAGAAATAAACTTGATGACAACAGATTGTGGTTCACTTATACTACTGATAGATTACAAATGAGGTCTTGTAATTAAGATAAAAGTCTTAGTAATTCTAAAATCTAAACATTTAACTGCATTTGATGCATTTATTATTTCACAAACAGTGCTTTATTAATAATATCCAATCGCAAATTAAACAAAAAAAGAAACAGAATACGAAGTTTTATCAGATGGAATTGCGAGCATTATTTTTATAACTGTCTAAGGGGTCATTTGATGGAAGCAGCGCCATGTAATTTGGAGCCATATTAAATACGACATCAGACACATGCTTGTATTAATTTATATAAGGGTCTAAGTTATAAATACTTTATTCGGTTCAAAAAAAGAAAAAATCACAAAAAATACCCTTTGAATTGCAAAATCTTAAATAAAAATTATTACAAAAATTTGTTGTTATTTTTTTTTAATGTTTAGTCAATTGCCATTAAAGTATAGTAAATATAAATACTTTATTTGGTTCAAAAAATGAAAAAATACCCAAAAAATGCCCTTTAAATTTCAAAATCTTAAATAAAAATTACTACAAAAATTTGTTGTTATTTATGTTTTTATGTTTAGTCAATTACTATTAAAGTATAGTAAATAAGATTGATTTAGAATTTTAAAATTCAAAATATATATTTTTTATTTTTTAAAAATTAATTAAGTTCAATAATTTTTTCAAGTCTAAAGTATAGTCGCTTTTTAAATATGTTTCTTAGTTTGAGTTCTTTTTTCCCCCCTTAGCTGCACTTAATAGGTGAGAGATTTAACTTCGAGAATTTATGCACTTGCAACAAAGTTTAGCAGTAAAAAGTACTGTGTTATAATTTTATAATAAATTTGACCATTTACTCAATTTTTAATGCATTCTGCCAATTTATCTCCTTCACTTTATTCATGAAAATTTTGAACTACTTTTTCGTTTCGAGATTTTCAATAGATCTTTTTTCAAGGGACCCAGGTCACTGTGCCTTGATTCTAGTCATCAAATGAGATTTGGATGGTATCTTGCACCCCCAATATTCATTTGATCTTGTAGCATTAATTCAATTCTAATTCAACAAATTAGCTGTACATTTATCCTGAAAGCTTTTACTTAATATTAATGGGTACCCAAAAGTTTTGTCAGATGTAAATTTACTCAAAAAATTTAAAATTATGACAATGTTATTTCTTACTGTTAAAAACTAACGTTATTCATTAAAATGATGGTATTAACTATTGACTTTTTTTATAATATAGAGCAACATTACTATAATTTTAAATTTTTATAACAAATTTGTATTAAAAAAATTTTAAATGCTCAGTATTTCTGAGCGAAAACTTTCTAAACAAATTTGCACATTAATTTTTTAATATAATCTAATTCATATGATTTCAGTGGTTTAAAATTTTTGCCTTTAGTTATTCTTTCTAAAAAATGTATTTTAAGACGTAAAGTTATCTTTTGAATGGTAGGGATTAATGCCTTAACTGGATTAAGATTACAGCAATTGAGTCACGGGATCACATGGTTAATTTCTTTCTATATATGGAGATGTCAAAGAGAAAAACACCAACACGTCGCTCGGCATAAAGAGACGACAAGGGACGCCCAGAAGAAACCAATAAGTCAGGTGGTGCAAGTATTATGGCGACGTATGTCCAATGACCTCGTCCACGGTGTTAATCGCTTTTGAATATTATTAGTCACGTGCCATCAATAATTAATAATTAATAGTAATCAATCAATTTATAAAGTGGAGTGTTTCTTGTCAGTGGCAGGCTCACAACCGCACGTTTATGCAATTTTGGGAGTCATTTATTTATCTATGCTGCATAAAAGCGACAATATTAATTATTAATTAATAATATATTAACTACGAGAGTCGTGTGAGATTTGGCAATTGGTTCATTAGAGGCCGTCCAAGTGGGCGCTTTCTTTTGGGCCTCTTGTCTTGTCGACTGTCCTCATGCATAAGCCTTGCTGGAAATTTAACACAGAATCATTTAAAATAAGTTAATTAAAATTCATTTGTTGTTTACAAAAGTTACATTCGAAAATATAATCAATTGATGATATGATAGTAAATATCAAAATCTACTGATGATGTTAGATGCTAGTTAGGATGTTGAATTTGGTCTTAAATAAGGCTTTAATTTATTTTGTCTTTTATATCTCTCTAAGATATTCTTATTGATTGCTAGATATTCCTATTAAGGGACTATTCTAATAATCAAATACACATGATTGAAAATGATAATTTAAGAAGATCAACACATATTTGTGAGAAATAAATAATTTAGCTAATTTTTTTACTATTTTCAAATTAGTTGTTTAATTATTATATTAAATACTAGAGGTAATATTTCACAGCTAGCTGGCTAACCAATTCTCAGGAATCCGAATTCAATAATAAACATGTATACTACATCTCTCTGTGCTCCATGTCGTCCCTTTAGTCTCCAGCTACATGACCGTTATTGATTGACGCGGTGCCTCACACTGTAAACACGTTGTTTCTGCATTTACAATAAACATTTTTAAAGTTTATTATTAGATTAATTCAAGAAAGCTACAATTATTAATATGAGAGCGTGTTTGATTTTTATTTTGACTTTAAATATAAGATCTCAATCTACTTTGTCTTTCATATTTATCTATTATTTCCCAAGATGGTTCTTATAATAATGGTAGTTCTAACCAGTACACTTGATTAGCAAGTATATTTTAGGAAAGACAACACACATTTATTACAAATAACTAATTTAACTAGTTTCTTTAATGTACTCAAATTAGTTAACTAGTTTATATATTAAAGATCAGAGTTAATATAATTTTAAATACTTGCTCTACACTGCGTAACAACTTTGAAACCGCGTCATAAGCCCCTCACACCTGATAACAACATTGACCGGTCTTTCGGACTGGGGACAAGAATGTAACTTAAATTTATAAAAAAAAAAGGCATTCATAAGCCAACAATGTCATCACTCACCTTAAATTCAGGCTATGCTGAGCCCGCATCTAGTCATCAATTAGTACATGGCACCTAACTTTTCATGACACATGAATTATATTCTTTCAATCCTAAATATAAAATTTTTTTTATAATGTAAATTATACTACAAAAAAGATCTTATATTTAGAAACGGAAAAATATGTTATTATAAAATTTTCATGATAATATCTTCATGTTGCATATGCGAATGTGTCTAATTATTACATGGCGCCTAACTTTTCATGACACATGGACTTTATTCTTTCAGTCCTAAATATAAAACTTTCTTTATAATGTAAATTATATTATAAAAGAAGTCTTATGTTCAGAAACAGAAAAATATGTTATTATAGAATTTTCATGATAATATCTTCATGTTGCATATGCGTATGTGTCTATATGTGTATGTATATGTGTGCGTGCACCTTCTAATTTAGACCATGTTTCCCTTTTATTCATGAAACAAAATAAAAGAAAGGCAGCACGATCTTGCTTCCTTTTCGCAATTTTATTATCACGATAATAGTATTTTTTTTTAAAAGAATAATTACTCCTCCAATCCTAAATATAAAATGTCTTTTGTAGTATAATTTACACTATAAAAAGCAAGGAACAAAAAACCGGACCGGACACTAAACCGGTTGAGGTAGTGGTTCAAAGGTTAATGGGTCAGACCGGGGTCAACTCGGGATCAAACCGGTCATATTAAAATAATTTAATTTAATTAAAAATGACAAAATATAACAATAATAATAATTACTAATAACAAAATATAAAGAAATACAATAAGAATTTGATTGTAATAATAATAAAGTACAACAATATTGAGAATTTTGATCTTTATAATTTTTTCAATAACTAAAATTAATAGTTATTGATGCCAAACTCATCATCAAAATTCATTTAAATCTATAATATTTGAGATATTAGGAGTTAAATGAGAAAAAATAGGATAAATATCAATATATTTATTTAAACCGGTTCAATACCGGTTTTTACCGGTTTTCACCGGTTCACACCGGTTTGACCGGTTCAATCCGGTTTGAACCGGTCCCCGGTTTAGCTTATGAACCGGACCGGACCACTGACCGGTTCACCGGTTTACCGGTTGAACCGGCCGGTCCGGTCCGGTTTTTTTTACACTGATAAAAATGGTCTTATATTTAGGACCGGAAGAATATTTAATATAAGAGAATGAAATTTTTCCTTTT